GTAGCCCTTGGCTGGAGTCCTTCCTGTGCCTGGAGATAGTAACCCAATCTCTAAATGTTTCTAAAGCTAAGGATCCTTCTTCTCCTCTGGCCCCCTCTGAGCTGTGCCTACCTCCTGTGGACAGTCAGATGGCTCCCATTTTGTTCACCACTGACTAGGAACTCCTTCTGAAGCTAATGGGCGTTTTTCTCTTAATTTTCTGCTTTTCTTGCCCTCCTGTGTTCTAGACTGATGTGAATATATTTTGTAATCAATCAGTCTCTGCCTGTAACAGGGTTTTTTTTTTTCGTTAATACTTGTTCAAACAAATTCAGATAAAGGTGTCCATTTGTATGCAACAGGAAATGCCTGTCTCCTTTTCAGATATCCCTGCAAATACTCCAGGCTGATTTCCTCTGCACTGAATGGTGATACTAGGTCAAACAAATATAAAAGCTCACTGGTCTCTTTCAAGGATCTGATTCAGGTGTTTGTGGTACACTCAGGTCCACCCTCACCTCCTGTGGGAGAAGGGATTAATTCATCTCATGCTACCATCCAAAACCCTTCATTAATGCATCCTTGCTGAAGGCTTGTACAAGGCATGGCCTACACAGCTAGGGAAGCTCAAAGTTCCTGACATGTGCTGGAATTCTGCCATCAAACAGCGTTGTGTCCTCATGGTGACTAATCTTTGGGACTAGAGGTCATCTCACCTTTGAGAAGCTGCAGGCATGAACCTGTGTTGTTTTTCTCATTGCAAAGAGCCATTCTGACATTTATCTCAGCTCTTGCTTTATCCTGCTCAGAAGGTGATGGCATTCTGAATTAGGTTGTCTAGATGCCTTTGCTTTCAGCCTGCCTCTTTCCTCCAGAGCAATCCAGTTTATGATTAAATCACTGGTGGCCATGTGTATGAATCCAAGTGCAGAGAACTGCATTTATGTGCTAGAGTGTTTATCAGTCAGTAGTCACTTTGGGACTGTATCTCCTTAGGCACAAATAACCCAAGGAAAGGAAGAACAGAATTCCCTATGAATATGTCTGTTTGCTACACCTGGCTTTGGCCATGGAGATCTGGGTGTCGACTTGATCCCTGGAAGGCTTTGTGAGAACTTTGAGCTTAAGGCTGCTCTGAAACACAGATAAGTGCACCAGGCCAGCATGTCTGCTCACTGTGAGGGGCCATGGTGTGGCATTTCAGCTGCAGCAGGCACAGCCCTGCTGAGCATGAGGCCTCTGACAGCAGCACTGGGCTGTGCTGAACCTCTGCCTCCATCATCAGGGCCTCTTACCTAATTGCTCTTGGAGAGGAAAACTGGGCTGAACTAAGAAGCATCCTAGTGGAAGGAAGTCCTCTCCTCCTCCCAGCCATGCTCAGAAGGCCTCTCAGTCTTGGAACGACCCCAGGTCCTGGAGCTGCAGCAGCAGCTTTGGCACGTCGCTCTCCCTCCTCATCAGGCACATCCCCAGCCACGTGGGCTCTTTCCTGCTGGTGGGCAAGGTTGTGACAAAAGTGCAAATGCAGGTGTCCACCCTGGCCTTTTAGTAGCAATTAACCTTTACTCCTGGGTTTCCTTTGAAGCTTGCTCATGTTTTTGTTGTAAAATAGTGGTGAAGAATTTCATGGAGACTAATATCTAAGCTTCCACATAACCTAATCTCATCTGTTCCCTTATGAGGGGCCTCATTTTTTTATTTCATCCCATTTATAGTGGGGATAATTATGGAGGTTTAAAGAAGCCATCTTGAATTTCAAAACTGGAGTGCTATCTGTGTGAACAATTTTCAGTTCACTGTGAAAATGATGCTTATCAGCACAGTCCCTGTGTCTAATTCTAACCTTACGAAGGTTTTCTATCAGTCAATATCCTATGGTTTTGCTGGGAGTCCCTCTGATCCGTGTGGGTGTAAATTAAGAAAAATAGTGATGCATCCTTTGAAAACTAAGACCAGAACCTCGATTCATGTACACTGATTTTAATAGACCTGCTTCTATCATTAATGTCACAAATACATCTTAATGGTCTTCGCATCTCTTGCTCAGTCATGATTCGACTCTGTGTCTATTCTGAGGCTTAAAAATATATATTTTTTTTGCTAGAATACATTGCTGTTTCAGGCAAAGGACCATTTCAGTAATCCATTTTACCCACACTTAGAGCTTTGGGGCATAGAGAAGTATTATATTTTCCAGAGCTTTCAAGCTGAAAGCCCGTGTTTAACGACGACATCGGGTGTGGCTGCTGGAAATCAAAGGAGGCACAATAGACCCAGCAAACGGACTTGTCTCCCTGCCAGGCTTTCAGAGGCCAATTTATCAGCTGCAGGTTTGACCCTATATGGCTAAAAAACGAGTGTAGCCAGAATGACTGAGATAAGTATAACTGAGGCCTTTGAGTCTGCGAGAGAGAAATTAAACTGGACTGTCCCTGGGGAAGATGAAACATCTGTAAAGCTGTGCTTGCTGAATGTTTAAGCCTCAGCTTGTGCTGGCTTGTGGGCAGGCACTGCTGGCAAGTGGAGCTGAGGAAGGTGGCCCTTTGGGACAGGCACAGAGCAGGTCACTGCTTGCTGTGACTTCAATTATTTGGCTGAGATACTCTTATTTTGTGAAGGAGAGTTGACTGTGGGACACAGAGTGCCTTGCTTTTACGGGATACTAGGCAGGACAGGGACAACAGCAGTGACTGTGTGAGATGGGCTTTTTAAGGAGCTTGAGTGTCAGGCACCCAGCTGTCATGGAAAATCAGTAGGATTTAGATGCCTGAAGTTTTTACCCCAGCACCCCCCTTCAAGTGAGCCATGTGCTTATCATCATCCAGATCACTTTCCTTGTGTGATTTCTCTTCCTGCACCCCATGTGTATACATGGGTTAGGCTTTCTTTTTTTTACCCCTGCTTCAAAAACAGCTGAAGTCTTTTAGGCAGGACTACAATCTAAACAGTTGGGGGAGGACATCTGAAAGGGAGCACGCCTGCCCAGGCTGGGTGCAGCACTGCCGCCAGCCTGCAGAGTCAAGGAGCACGTGCAAGTTTTGGGGGATGCTCAGGAGGTGTGAGTGGACCTCTGTCACCTGTCCCACGATGCTGGAGCACGGGTGTGTCTGGGGGTAGCAGCAGTGCCATGGTGTACAGAGGTGGCTGCTGGAGGGGTTGTCTCAGTGCAGGGCAAAGTGAGGGGTGGCATCCAGGTAGAGCTGTGTCTCTATCCTTTCCATGCCCTCTTTCCTGTCCTTTGGAGTCCCAGGTAAGTGGTAGGAAGGTATGGCATGGGCTCATGAGAGCAAGCTCTCTGCACCAGTGCTTTCACGAGCCCTTGAGCATCATTACCAAAGTCAGCTCTGACAGGTAGGATTTCTGAACCACAAGCAATGGCAAATCCCTCTCTGTGTCCTTCTCAGCTAAATGGTGGAGTCAGTCAAGATTTTCTACTTCTCAGAATGCCAGGTATTAGGAAAGCGACCAACTGATCAATATTGGGTTCAATTGTTAAAGTGCAGGCAGAGTCTGCCAAACCGGAGGCCGAGGGGACGGGTAGCTGAACTTTCCTGTGACATGTATGAGGTCATAGCCAGTGCCACATAAAAGAAAGAAAAACAGTTCATGGCTGTGAATAAATTGCTCACAGATGAAGAATCCAGTTTGCCAGTCCTGTGATGGGAGCAATCTATTCCAATGATTTGTTATGTCCCAGTGTTTGTCTTAGGCAGTACCAGAAGCATGAAAGTACAGATATAAAACCGTGAGATAATATGTAACAAAGATGTGAGAGACAATGGGCTATGACCAGTTTGCAGTGGAAAAGGCATACGGTGTTAATCTACCATGGATAGTTTCTTAAATGAGCAAGAAATTGAAAGAACATTTTAAAGTTTCCTGTTTCTTCACTGAAACAGAGTCATTCTGAAAGCCAAGCCCAGTGTAACGCTTTCATTTCTGGGCCAACCATGTTATGCAAATATTCTCAAGCTCAGGTTTTAAATACCTGATCTCTTAGTTTCAGTCCTTGGAGAACAGTATTCTCACCTCCTATTTAGGTTTGAATTAAGTGGAATGAGTTCTGGTGTGTATAAAACCCCAAGAACATGAATATGTTAAATTAATATAAACAGTAAAGAAAGCTTTTTTGGCTAGTTTTGTTGTTTTGACCCCTTTACATGTAGAGTTGAGTTAAGCACTGTATTACTGGTACAGCTAAAGCCCCTGCTGAAGTAACTCTGAGTTTCTGACTAAAAGGAATTTATAATCAGTCTTACATTTTAGGCTGTCAAAAATAGTGAATTTTTCTTTTTTTTTCTTTTTTTTTTTTTTTGGTTTTGTTTGCTGGCTAAGCCCCAGGGATGAAGGTTTTTTTTTTTTTTTTAATGTGTTTTGGATCTGCCCCAGTTTTTTTTGCAACTGTAAGAGGAGAAGGTTCATGTTCTCTATAAGGTGCTGTTTGGATCCTGAACTTATTTTAGACCATTGCATTTCTTGGAGGTCAATGGTAAGACACTGATTTACATCAGCTGAAGCTCTTGCCAAGAGTTGTGTGGTAGGCTGGATCCTTTCTCCGAAGACTAATTGGAGGCCATCAAACTTAATTTTGGCTACTTTAGGTTCAGTCTGTCTCTCTGCAAGACCAGTGAAGCTTTCCTGCTTTTCACTTCTCTTAGATTTCAGTTGTAACATGTAATGCTGGCTTTCAATTGTAATTTCAAAGCATGTGCGGGGTGCAGCGCTGTATCCAGACCCGACTGGACAATGGGGTGTGCCTGTACATCTGTGTGCAATTCCCTCGCCTGTGCTCCGTGATGCAAACCACTTTTGATGTCAGGAATATTCAGAAACACTGTGTTACTCCTAGGCCTACACTAGAGAAAAGGCTCAGCTCCATCCAGGGTGAGGCTCTGCTGCAGGATTAGTGGTTGGTGGCATCTCCCAAACTGTCCCTTCCACTCCGTGTGCAGGCTGAAAGGGTTTCATGTGCAAAACCTGTTAGGGTGTTTCAAATCCTACCGTTTGTCTTTCTTTTCCAGGTGATGAATGTTTGTATGAGAGCTTTCCAGAACTTCCCTTGGGGGAAATGCCAGAAGCTGATGGAGAGGCTGCAAATGTCCAGTGTCCAACATCCATCAGCATCCAAGAGCCGTCTTCTCCAGCGACCTCCAGTGAAGCTTTCACACCCAAGGAGAGCTCTCCTTACAAGGCTCCAATATACATTCCTGATGACATTCCCATTCCTTCAGAGTTTGAGCTGAGAGAATCCAACATTCCTGGAGCAGGATTAGGGATATGGACCAAAAGGAAGATTGAAGCAGGGGAAAAATTTGGCCCTTTTGTAGGAGAGCAGCGGCCACACCTGAAAGATCCTAGTTATGGCTGGGAGGTAAGACGTTGTACATTCTTTTGGTCTGTTGAGTTCTTGTGTGTCTATTTATAAACACAGAAATATTTGCAGAATTTGAATCTTATTCTGCAGCAGCCAAACCATATTTATGTACACAAACTGCTTCGTGGCCTTTTGGGGTTTTCTGGATGGAGATGAGTGTAAATTGAAAAAGAAAAGAGTCAGAAATTAATATTGTTCTTCATGCTTGAAATCTGGGTGGATATTGGCAGGTGACGATCCTTTTGAGGAAAGTGAGGAAAAAATGCTGTTGGAACATTTCTATACCGTTTTTAATCAGGTCTTGGATAGTTCTGCATTATGTCTCTGGGTGAGGAATTTGCAAAATCACTGCATTACAGGTTTGAAATGAAACTGGGTGCTGTTTTCAGGGTTGTGAATTGCCACCTTCTGTCAACAATTATTAAAATAGCCCTTAAATTTAGTGATGTATGGCTAAACTTGCTATTGAACAACTTTGTGCTGCTAGGGGGCTTCAAAAGCTGGGGAGTTGATCCTGCTTCCGTTTTACTTAATGGGAATTCTGCCACTCATTTGGTGAAGTAGGTTTGGATGCTAGTGCCATACCCAGCACATATGGGAATGGTGTGGTTCGTGTTACTTCTGCTGATGCTTTGGGAAATCCTTTCCCTGAAGGAGCTCATGGACTCTTTTGTGAGTACAGGTGTTGGATCTTGCTTTCCCTGCCTTCAGGGACAGCATTTTCCTCACTGTGATATCCCTGAGGATCTGGCTGATCTCCTGGTCCATGGTCAGGTCAGGGATTCAGACATCAAGTGGTGCTGCTGTTGTGTTATGATGTAACAAATGTTCCTGCATGGTTTTATTCATCGTTTCAACAATGTGCTGTAGGAACAGAGCACAATCTCTGCTTTCCATCTGTACGTTTCCTTTGGTTTCTGATAAGGGGAGCCATGCAGGGTTTGCGTGGCTCTCCAGGGGCACGCCTGACCTCTGGAGAGATGGGAGTTCATTTTCCCAGGAAAAGTGGAGCTTCATTGTGGAGCAGAGCCTTCTGCAGATATGGTGGAAAATGGAAGCTTGATTTGCTCTTAACTATCCATAAAAACTCAGGGAGTTCATGGCAAACTTTCCATCCAGCTGTTTAAACTCTTGTGAGACCTGCGACAATGTGACAGAATAGTGTCAGGAGAAATCATAGACTTGGCAGAACTCTACTTAGTTAACAGACTGTGATGCAATATAATTGCTAGTGAGAAGTCTTTATCATTTGGAAAAGGCACCAGGAAACCATAAAATTTGACCTTTCACCACACCACAATTAAGCTCAAATATTGATAACAGAAATTAAAGCGAAACTGTTGATACACGGCTGTACTTGCAGGTTTAACATTTTTCCAAAATTAGGGTATTTTAGAGTGGACAATCAAGTGCTGTAGGACAGGATAATCCCACTAAGGCTGAGGGAAACCCATCTAGCTTTTCGCACCCTTAGATGCTGGCAATATGCTACAATATTAGAGACTGGTTTTCCTGCTTGGAATATTTCAGATTTTGGGGTCTGTGATATTCAGACAAGAAATTAATATCTTGATAGTGCTGGAAGCCCAGCTGGCAGCCTGAATCCCTTTCAAGCTGCAGGACTTGTGCCATTTGAATAGTGAATTTTATTTGGGACAGCTGGGGCAAGCTATTGAAAAGTGTTGGAGCAAAATCACACAAAATCAACAGTCAAGTCCCTCTGCCATTTGGTCACTCACCCAGAAGTATTCTGTGGTGCTTAGAGGATCTTGAAACTGAATATTTTTTCCAACAAGTGGGTTAAATACACTTACTGTATTGAAGAGAGACAAAGAAATTCTGGTTAGCAGAGTTTGCACAGTGAGTAAAATGGCACAAGAGTGATGGCTGGGGCTAGAGGAGGGATGTGGGGGAATCTGTAGTGCTGGAGAGAACTTCAGTGATGCTCATTCCACCCAGATGCTCATCATCACACTCCTCAGGAATCCACCACTTCCTGGGGCCTGTGCTTTGGACATTAAACAGGGAAAGAAGCTGATACTGGTGTGCGGGCTCAGGCAGTGCTAAAGGCACTGTGGGATGGGAGGAAAACTATCATTACTGAGGTTTAAGTATGGTCTTTAAGCTTTTCTGGTGCTGTTGTTTTCTGCTTAAATGGGCACTTTTGAGAAATAAGGTGTATGTCCAGCCAGGTGCCAACAAGCCAGTTAACAAATGAGAATTCATTCTGCTGTTGCTGGTAATCAAGGTGAAATTTCCTTTCAATCTTAAATGGAAGAAGGATAGAACCAAAGTCTCTGTGTGGCGCTGGGTGTGGGTTTTAAGTGACTTTTTAGTGTAAGAGGTTTTAAAATCTTTCCACTTGTTTGATGAGTGAATTCTATTGATGCAGATTGTGACATGGTATACTCTCTCAAGTTGGATTGCCTGTAATTCCTGGGGTAGTTCTTGGTGCTATAGAAGCCAGCTGGTGACTTCAGAAGGAAAGATGTCCCAACCTGCTCATGTTGGTTCTACTCCCATAGGCCAAGAAAGTGTTTTGCTGTGTCCAGGCACTCATTCCTTCACTGCTTGTCTGCAGTGCTCCAAAAAATACATAGTGGGCTTGCACCATTGCTACTATTTGTGTACTTACCTCTTGAGTAGACTCCCCTGTGATTGCAGAGAGGATGATTAAGTTACTTATAAAAATACAATCTTTTCATTTAATCTGAGTTTAAGCTGGGACACTGAATGTACAATGGTGTACATTCAAAGGTGGGGTTTTTTTTGAGGAAAAAAAACATTAAAACAGTTTTGTATGGAGAGATGGACATCTTCCTCAGCCTTTTTCTGATGTTGCACATATTACCCATTTTGTTATGAAACATTTGCTCCGTTTTTGCAACTGTTTAGTATTGCTAGATAGTCCAAAATCTTACATATAAAATTTAACCGAAAACCCTACATTCAACTTGGAGAGAAGAGTTTGCAATTGCACACACATTTGGACTGTAACTACATTTTTGAAAAAAACATTTCTTTCCTTTGCAAAAGCTTGTCATAGTTTTGGGTGTTTCCAGCTGTGGGATACTTCTGACTTCCAGTTTTTGTGGCTGATATACATCTGAGTTGATACTGGGATTAGTCTGGAAGAGAAGTGGAAGCTGAGGGAACTGCTGCTGTTGAATTCTGCAGCCGGGCAGTTGATGATAAAGAAAAATTTTCTGCATCAGGCCGAGGAATTTCATGGAGCCTGTTCCTACATTCCCCTATAGCAAGACTCCCTATGGGATCAACACAGAGTTCTGTCAGAGCAAGCCCAAGAAAACAATGTCTATTGTGTCCATTTATCCAGTTCAGCCATAAAACACACTTTGGGACAAAAAGAATTTGTTGTGATATAGTCGCGCTTGGGTCATGATTAGAGTGCTGTAGATCAGTTTAAATGAAAAGCCATAAATTTGAATTTTATCTCATTTTGTGGGGCTGGAGTTGAGCATTATCTAATCAGGTATTGGTTAGCTGGAGTACAAATCGAACAGGGGGTCACCGGACAAGGGGAAAGGTCGAGCTTTTTTGCAGTTTGTCACGAGGGTTTTAGTATTTGCCGGCAGCCCGAATATCCGAGGGGGTCGGGAGGCTGTTGCTCGGTGCTTGTTTGAAAAGGGAAAATTGACTGCTGCTTAATCAACAAAGAAAATAAGCTTTTAAGGGATGGCAGTAATTTTTTTTAAACAAAAGCAAGGGAACGCAAATTTAGTGATTTCATCATGGTTCATGCCCTGCTATGAAAAACAACTGGGAGAGGATTTCAAAGCAAGGCTTTGAGTAGGTCGCCAAAGCACACGCACCTACCTTGGACCAGAGGACAGCCAACATCCCAAATCAGGTCTCTTGCTGCTCCAGCAAACTCAAAGTCTCATTCATAAGAACAAATTCTTCACCGCTCTTTTGATCCTAAACTTTTATTTCTTTACTAGGAGGGCAAAACCAGGAGCAATAAACTCTAATAAATCAAACCTGTCACAGAAGTAAAAAAAAAAAAATATTTTAGAGCTTTATAAAGCAGCATATAATCTGTTTATAGAGCAGAGTATATTTTCCTGTCATGCCAGGGAGGCTGAAAAACAACTCATATTTGGTAGAGTATGCTTGAGCTGATGCTATTACTTCTAAATGGAAATTAGGAGGCCATTTGGCTATTTATTTATGTCTCCTCTAACATTTTTCATGTGGGTCCTTTGAGAAAACTGCACAGCTTCCTAAAAATTGTTCTGGAGTACAAGCTTCCCACTGTTTTGTAGGGACTGGAATAGTTGCAGTCTGAAGCTTTAACTCTGCACTCTCTTTCTTTCTTTTGGCAGTTTTAAAAATCAAATTTATTCAAGATTCTGGGGTTAGGTGTACCATATATTGCTATAAAAATTAAATAACATGTCAAAAAAAATAGGCTTTTAGAGATGAAATCTAATCTACATGCTCACATATCTGGGTTGTAGCATCTAAACCAATAGCTTGGTTTTCTTAGCATCCAAAGATTTATACTGTAATCAGTGGCAGTTACCAACCAATTCCTATGTACAGATGTTAGTCCCTGTTTTTGGGTCCTTTGGAAAAATCGATGCCAGAATGCTGAAAGCAGCATTTTTTTTTCTTGTTTGTTTTGTTTTTAATAAAAACAGAGCGAAAAGTCTTCCAAATAACTTCCCGTGAAATTCACACATCTTAAAACTCGAGTTAAGCTATTCTTAATAAACAGTGGCAGTACTGAGGGAAATAACTCCCTTGTAGTCAGGAAAATCACTCTGGGAAAGAGCAGTAGATAATCTTTTTTTTCAAAAAGAAAAATAGAAGAACAAAGACTCCATCACTTGTGAATATTTTTCTTTGGGATAGGGAGTGTGTCTTAGTGTTAAACAATAAAACCCTTGATTTTCTGCTGTTGTTTGACACTTTCACACTGCCACTGGTCTGTGACTTTTACAGACCAAATCTTGGCTTTTTCTTGAATTGTT